ATATAATTTCGAAAGGCATTTGATCATATATTACGGAAAACTATTGAAACCTTTTTGTTTGAATTTTACATGAACGACTATGGTAATATGTTCATTACTTTCGGTAAAAGTATTTGAAATTGTATCAGTTTGTGTGAGAATCGCCATATATGTGTATAAAAGCCACTAAGATACGATTGTATGAAGCAGTATAGCAATCATTCCTTATTAAACGGGTATTGCAAAGTTGACACGGTCAACGCTATCTATTCTCGTTTTTTCCTAAGAAATCATTTTATTTTTTCCATATTAATACAAATATATGTGTTATACACATTTTTATCATTTTACGTCATTGTTATTGGCTGGATTATTATTATTGTTGAAAAAAAATCAAACTATTTATATATTGTACATCCATTGATATGATGGAAATGGAGTATATAGGAGCTGTTACGAATATTAGTATAATTATGCAAATAACTACCTTTGTGTATATAAATATTAATAATAAACAAAAACTGTTATACATATGGATATAGTAATGATGACAGTCAAATTATATGAGAATCTGTGTATGTATATAATACAAATATTATAACGTATGGCATAGGAATAGAGCAATAATAATATACCTATTATGTAACACACATATTAAATTGATATTCGGTTGGGAATATTTGAAATAAAAATCATTTTAATAATAACAGTAATTATTACTCATATATAGTACATTAATCTATTAAACCATGTTTTTTATCTGTAATAATAATAAAATCCATGCTAATTTACAAATGAAAGCGATTATTTTGAATTAAGTGCAAGGATACAATTCCTGTGAAATCACCTTTACTTTATTGGAAAATAATTTAAAAAAAATAAAGATGATAATGAGTTCAACATTATCATTATTAATACAAAACTATTAATTGCTCAATAATTATTACGTATGTAGTGTAAATAGTACACGAATCAGCTTATTGTTGGGAATAGATCGACAGCAAATCTTAAAACTACTTAATTATCTGAATTTTTAAGGTAAAATCATAGTTAAAAGAAAAATTTTAATAATGAATTGAAAAAATATGAGTTTTTTTTTTATTGAAGAGTCAGTAGCTTTACAACTTAAAGAAACGTAGGAGGTTCTGCATTAAATAAAAATTATTTTATTTCCTAATTTCTAAGCTACAAAAAATAGATTCACGTATTTTCAATGAAAAACTGAAAAAAATTTCTATGAAAACTGAATTTTGAAATCAAAATTATTCTTGCTATCGCTTTCACATTGAATACTTAGATAACACTTTACCATAAACGTGAACCTAGAATGTCTTGTTCTTATATTCGTAATAGAATAGTAAAATACTTAAGAAGTACACACTCAGTGAGGTGGAATTTCGATTTATCGAGACGAACGGAATAGTTTTTTAGAGAGAGTTTATTATATAGTTGCGTGATTAACATAGTTCAAGGACAAGCATTCCATTAAAACAATTTTGAGCATTAAATCAATAATCTTCTTCAACGAATTTAATTAAATAAAAAAAATTCCTTCACTCAATGACGTCTTAATTGTGAACCAAAATTTTTTAAATTTCTTTTATGATCAAAAAACTTGTGATTATTCCAAACGTACACCATCTTGCTATTAAATTCTAAAATAACATCAGCTACATATTTACATAATAAAAATTTTTAATAAAAAATCAAAAACTTTGTATTCTAATTAAGAAGTATTAAATTTCAAAGTTTCATGCATATTTACATATACTTAGGTATAAATAATTATAACCATATTGCATACACTGTTTAGGCACACATCTACGATAATTATTACCGTGCTATACATATATAATATGTTATTTTCGTTGGTATTTATATTCAAATGCATATATTCTAATATGTTTGTGAAAGTGTTTGAAATTTTAATGAAATGAAATTTCAAAGTCATATTGCTTTGCTTCTAAAAATTTTTCATTTTTGTAAAGAACATAAGCATATTATGATATACAAATATATAAAATACCTATATATGTATATGGTGATACTATTGTTAATATCATCCAATGTAACATCTATTATAATAAAGGGCTTATTGCAGTAATGTTTCAAGTATAGTGCATCATTTTATTCATTCGTTATAATAGACAAAGTTTCGAGTGTTTTTTTTTTCTTCTGTACAATATAGTAATATAAACATAAGTCGCTCATGTGTGCATAATCATATGAGTTTTACATGATTTTAAAAGTAATATACATATAGAAAAATTCCAAAAAAAATTTTTTATATTTTATTTTTGAAATAAAATGTAATTCATGTATGTAAAGGTGCCTTTCACTATTATTATTAAACATTCGCACTTAAAAATAATATAGAAGGAAAAAAGAAAATTAAAAGTAATGTACCCCAAAAATATGTATAGGGTGACCTCGTAATAATATTATAATTATTACATTATTAGTGCATATCATATACATACACGTGTATTTATATGTCTACATTTATAGATCACACACATATTTGCTGCAATGTGATATTCTTTTATAATTTTTAACGCGACCTTACACTGAAATAAAAATTTTTAACATGAAATTCTATGTGTATATTATTACTGAGTATTATGTAAATATTTTGAAAACATATTAATGAAATTACTCACACGCATATATAAATAATAATTATATATCCAGAACCCATGGAGAATAACTATAATGTCGATATATAAGGTTAAAATTTTAATTTGTTTTCAATTTTCTGTAATTATAAGAATTTTATGAATGTACTTACATACTTACACAATAATGTTATACAGTTTAATAATGTTTGAATTGGAATAACCCTTGATGTGTACGAATATAAAAGAAATATAAACAAAAATAAATTATGAATATTAATATATGTATGTATATATAAAAAAATATTAAGGAAGAACGTGTAAATGTACTTTTAGGACACACATGCACTCATACAAATTTGTTTTATTGGTAATATTGAGAAATAAAAATTTAATGTAAAATGTATATAATATTATGTTCTAATAGAATATATATATACATAATAGACATAATATTTAATTAGTGTCGATTTTTAACTCGATTTAGTCATGCTGCGATTAACCAATAAAAAAACTGATTCAGTTCACCAAATTCACCAAATTTTCAAAAATAATTTCCCAATTTATTACATTTACGATGTCAAGACCTTTTGCAATGAAATAATATTAAGATTAATATACTTGATCAGTCTGCAAAATATATTTACAAAATCTATTATCTATACATTATGATTATACTATCTATAATCTGTTCTACTAGTACATTGTAAGAAGTCTGTTACAATTACATAATTTTGCATAAATTTAGGAGGATTAAAGGTTTTCGAAAAATTTGTTTGTACCGATATTAAAAGTTGAAATTGTATTCCAAACTAATTGGATTAAAGCAAAATGGCATAGTTTTTGGTACAACGACGTTCGCATTTACATATTTACCTTTTGTAGAAGTTCAGTAAAAGTTACGGTATCGAAGAAAAAGGGGCTTTAAATTGAACGTTTGTGTGTTTTAAGAGGTAATGACTTGAAAAGAGGAGGAGTTTTATTCTAGTTAATAACTAAAATAATGAACTCTTCAAATTTTAAATACATCCGGATCCGAATAGAAGAAATAATGATTTCTGTTCATTCTACAAAACGGCTTTCAATTTGTAGTATTAAAAATTGGCAAATTTATGTGGGTTATGGACAAATCTGAACTATGTGAGTGTGAAAATATGCACTATTTGAGTGTGTGCCACTCGAGTTTCCTACATTACCTTTACTTACAGAAAGAAATGACATTTTCAACTGACTTTATTGACAAATTTGTTTGGAATTTTATGTACCTATATCTAATAATGTATGATAAACTTAAACTCTTAAACTTTTTCTGAATAATTTTAGTCGCACATTTTTTTTTGTTTTGGAGTTGCATTTTTAAGTTGAATGGGTCGCACTTTGCCGGCATCAGGGCCACTCTAAGAAAGTTTTTCCCTACAAATTTTTCTTTAAATTTTAACAGTTCAGTCGAAATTGTTAAAAATAATTTATTTACGATTCCCTAAGACGTAGGGACGAACTTCAGTGGGAAACTCGAAACTCGAAATTTAGTGTCATGAGAATAATTTCCATTTATATACAAATGCGGACAGTAAAAATGATGTAATTGAACGAAAATAAAAATTCTTTTCTAAATTAATAAAAAATTTATTTAAATTCATTTTTAATGCCTGTATCCGGTTAGATTTCTTTTTTTAAAATTTGCAATTTTATCTATTGGCTATTTTGGTTTCCTTTTTTTTTTGTATTTGATAGCTTTCATCTAAAAATAATCAAAAATTTTACTTTAATTTACAATTTTCTTTTTGTTACTTTATAGTATAACAGTTTATCAATAATCCTGCGTTATAATAGAAAAATTGAAAAATAATGACCGTATATAATAAATTGAGAGAAGAAAACAAATTCAAAATAGAAAACAAAAAAGTATTGGTACCTAATCTATTTAAAAAAAAGAATATATATATATAATATGTATATGTGTTCGCTTCTCCTTTTCTTAAGAACCAGAAATCCTTTTATCTTTTATATTTTAAAGCTAAATATATTTAGTAAATTATCATTGAGATAAGAGCACTCATTTCGTACAAATTGAAAATTTTCTCTTTTCTTATGTTTCATTAAAATAAAATTTAAATTGTTCTTTGTATTATATAGTTCTGTATAATAATAATGTATACAGAAAATGTTATACATGTAATAGCCATTCTATAAATATAAGAATACAAAGCTTATATAATATTATGTTATATGTATATAAGTATAAGTTTATAGTTTAATATTTTACTTACATAAAAATAAATTTTATTTACTGTGTTGATCACTTTTTATTTTCATAATTTGTTTTTATTTTTGTATCTCCCTCTCTCCCTCTCTCTCTTGTATAAAAAAAAAAAATTTATTATATTTTTTTTTCTCTCTTTTCAGGTAAGTTTGTGTGATTTCAAATTTTAATTTTCTTCAGACAGAACAACTGTTCTATGATTTTGTGAGAAAATGTCAAGTAACAATTTACTCGTATAAATGTATGTATGCATTTGAAAAAAAAATATTATCATCAGAAGCATAAGTATGTAAGGAACCTTAATTTTGTTATACATTTACAACGTATGTTGCAGTAAGTTGATTTTCTTTATATGATAACTTTTATTAATTATACTTATTATGTGTAAGACTACATATTTTGTAACATAAATAATTTATGCATTATTCACATACCTACTTACATATTATTCAATTTTTTAAAAGCACCAAAATAAAAAAGAAAAGCAAAATAATATTATATAGGAAATGTTATACAATGGTGCCTGCCATGTTTAACACGATATAATTGTTTTTTTTTTCTCTCTTTTGTTTTAACTATTTTTCGTATAATTGTTATTTCAGTTTGACGATAAAAGCTTATGGTAAACAATTTTTGTAATAGCATTTTTTAAGTTTATCTTATTCAAATTTAATTCATATACATATTCGAACAATTAAAGAAATATACTTATTTTATTTTATTTTTACTACTTAGTAGGTACATTATAAAACATCCGGTTTATTATTATACAGATGTTTCAAAGTTTTACTTCTTCCGTACGCCGCCGCACCTAAGGAAAGGCAGTTTGTAACCATTTGAAGAATTCGTCTTGCGGTATATATGGTCCGGATTCGGGCAGCTGCCCGAACAACTTCAAAAGCTATCTTTGAATATTCGAAAAAATAACAAAGTTCGATCCATGAAGCTTGGCATTCATTTTGTCCACTTGTTGCTCAGATTGTCAGATAGTCAACAATTTTTAGTTGAGTTTTATTTCATATTAGAGCATCTTAAGTTTTTGATAAAATGAACTCTTGAAATGAAATAAACCATATTTTTAAAGAGATGTCTGTTTAGTGTATCCGGCAATGCGGTCGATTATGTGCTCTATACGTCATATTGGCTATGATTTGAGATTACACGCAAGTTATGTTTACATCTTCAAACATACACACATTATTTTCTTTAATTTCTTGTTTACAAACAGGATTATTCTGCAAAGTCTGCATTGTACTATCCCTGTACTGTACACATCGTTAAATGTACATATTGATTAAATAAATTAAACTCATAAACTGAAATATTTGAGTAAATCAAAAATATGAATAATTAAACAGGAACGACTCTTTGAAACTTTTGTGAATAAATTATTTTTATTCAAAAATTTTAAGAAAGTATGCAAAGTTTCAGGATATTCTAATAAAAATGGGACACAACATGTAAGAGGATAGTAAAGTTGCTTGTGTTCTTATTTAATAGGGAGAAAGGAAGAAATGTAGCATTAAAAAAATAAAAAAAAAAATTAATGTGGCCGTCACATAACCGACAGCTTTGTTAATTTAAAATTGCTTTAAATATTAATTTCAAATTCTATAAAAGAAATATATTAGACTTTAGTTAATATACTTAGAAAAATATAAATTTGGATATTAGTAAAAGTTCATTTTCCGTTGCAAAGAAATTCTGGCAATTAGTTTTGGAGATACGGTCAAATATGTAAAATCGAACTTTACAATTTGCATAAATATGCAAATTTCGGTTTTTGAGCTCTGATATTCGCCAAATATTCTGGGTTATTGTTTTAATAGGCAGATTTTGAATATGATTTTTACCACGAAATTTCAAGTATATTAGTTGAATATTTCTCTATATATTTACAAAAACGTTTATTCGGCTGGTAGTGAAACTCCACTTACTGATATTTTATTTGCTCAAATAGTCAAGTAACTTCACCTCAATTCGCAGGCGAAGCTTATATGAAAAGGTTAGGAAAATTCACTGAATATATTCTTAAAAATAGTCAAAAACATAAAATCGGCCCCAAATCAGACAAAATCGGATCTCACCCGTATAGTTAATTCAGATATGAATTTTCGTGAGAATCGGTATAGCCAAACTTGAGATACTGATCTGCACAAACAGACTAGTATACAGACGGAACGACAGATATTTCTTTAAAAATTATTTATTTACGCTTGACTAGCATGTAGAAGTGCTTTTCCACTGAAAACTAAACGTGTGAAATTTGGTTCAATTACATAACTTTCCTTATTGTATGCAATGCGGTCCGTAAAAAAAAAAACAAATATTATAAACAGAAATGAAAATGAAACTGAAAATTTTATATAGTTCAAGTAAACAATCAAAGAAATAAAAGTAAAGAAAAAAATAAACAAAAAGAGAAAAAACAATAATAATAGTTTTGCCTTAAGTTACCATGGGAAGGACTTCGCCCAAGAGAAAATTCATAATGTCCTTGCAGAACAGAGTGTTGTAAAAGAAAATTATTTTCACTTACGATTATTATTATTCATTTTATATGAATATTTTTTTTTAGCTTATACTTTAAATTATTTTATTTTTGTATGCTGTGTAAGATAAAATTAGATTGACGAGATACATGAAATTAAAGATAGTCAGATCTAATGAAATGTGTTTAATAGGACCTATGCATATTATGCATTTCATTATGGATTTAAATTTTCCAAAAGTGTTTAAAATGATTCAAAATAAATCAATTGAATTGGTATTGAATTTTTAATGGTTAATTAAATAATTGTAGCAAATGTAATGTAGCAAATAATTGTAGCAAATGTTATGTTGCTTCAAAAAGTGTTAATAATTTAAAACTTTCAATGTAGGCTAGAATGCTTCTAGATTAACTGTATAATAGGATATTGTAAAATTAGAGAAAACTGTTAATATAAGGGAGTTAACAGTTGGGTTACACAACTTGGGCTAAGTTGGTAATAATAAAAAATATGTAATTATATACGATAAATATTTGTTATGTTAAGAAATTTTTAGATAATATTGAAATATCCGCAAATAATAAGTTTGAAATTTTCACAATTTTTTAAAAATACCATTAAGATGCTCTTAATTTAGAGTTAAAATTGTTTGGCAACCTTAAAATTTAAAAATTAATATAAGAATAAAAAAAAATTTTTAGTACACAATATTTTTGTTTTATCATAGTCTCTTGCAAATATTTTTTACATGAATATATTGCAAAGTAGTACATATATGTACATATTTTTCTGTTATTTGTAGATCGAGATATGGAAATCGGTTTCACCATGGTTTTAATACAGTCATTTGAAACTTTAGGAAAAATTTTAAAGACTTAACGAACTGTAGACTTAACAAGCTCAATCAATGAAATGAGAAGGCAGGTTTTCTGTTATTTGAAAATTATTTTTTATATTTCAAATCTAAAAAAAAGCGTTTTATGTGTTTAAACTTAAATTTTTACTCAATTAATTTTAATGATTAAGAAATATTGTATATAAAATTAATTTAAAGGCAATTTAGTACATATTTCGGGAGATTGCAATGCCGGGAATTTCCAGCATCGATCTAGTATTTCAGTTCCGTATATTCTGCCAGATGAAATAGACTAAATGGTCTCAATATATACTTTCTAATTGAAATTTCGTAATTGTGAAACATTGTGATTGTAATATCGATATTTTATATCACATTGAAACACTTTGGTCAAATCATCTCTGATTTCACTAGTTGTCTATACGCAATAAATGTATAGATGTATATAGTGCACACCGACCCATTTTATAATATACTAATGTGCAAATATATGAGTGAATTATAATTTTATAAATATATATATGTACATATACATTTATGCACATAATTTTTTTTTTTAGAATTATAGAACAATAAATAAAAAATTGCTTACATTAAACATTTCGTTTACCTATACGAATAGTAGATAATATAATAATAATATGCGTAGGTATGTAAAAACCAATGAAGTTTTATGAATATGTACCTACCTATATACAAGAATGCACGTATTTTAAATTAAATTTTGTAAATAAATTTACTTGATGCTTTGTTTTTATATTAATTCTTAAAAATGTATGTACATATATGTATTGTATAATGTATTGTAATAATAATTGTAATACAGAAAATAAACTTTTATATTTTATAATGTTGAAATTATCGGAATACTTTATCTAGATCAGAATATTTTATTAAAAAAATATTTTAAAAGGGCGTAAAATAGCAATGAATATTATTTTTAATATTGTTTAAAATATTTTTTACATTTCTGCATGTAATTTGTTATATACCTGTATGCGTTTGTGGGGATTTGTATTGAAATAGACTTACTTGTATACATAGACGCATTTTTATTTTCCGTTTAAAATAATTAGATGACATTGCAAAAAGGGGAATCCGATTAAGTTCATATAAATTAATCTGTATATTATTATTTCATATACAATGTATGATTAAAAATGAACAACGTGTTCGTATATGCTGATAATTATTATGTATAGCTACATATATTTAGGGGCATATGAAAATAATTCAATAATAACTTTTATCGGAATAATATAGGTAAAATTTGTAAAGTGTTATATCACAGAAGAAATATTTTATAAATATTGTATAACAGATTTGAGGCATATCTTAAATGATAAAAAAAATAATGTATGTGCGTATATATATATTATTGAATAGTTATATCGAAAAACTCAATGTATGTAAATTACAATTTGCACAAGATATTTTATATTAAACGCTTATTTTTGTTATATTATTCAAGGCAAACTAAAATTAAAAAAAAGTAGAACTAAAACTTAGAAACTTTATTACGTATAATGTTAATACCTTCATACATGCCTATAATATGACATTATATACAGCTATAAGTGTATGAATATTGATGCGTACTTAAATTCATAAATACTTAATATTTTTATTATTATATTATATTTTTGTTATACATAATATGAATATATAAAAAAGGACAATAAAAAATTTATGAATTATAATTTCTGTTCCTCTTCTCTTTTTGTTGAATTTTATGCTTGTTTCTTTCTTTATTGTAATTTTAATGTTAAAGTTTAAGATGAAAGGTGTAAAGAGAGACTGAAAAACAAAAGAGATAGAATTTAATATAGAAATAACTGTAAATATATCAAAAATATATTTTTTATATATATATTTTTTTTATTTTAAAAAAAAAAAACAAAAGTTTGCTGTTGTCAGAAAAAAATTGAATTTTATAAAATTTATAAAATTTAAAGGTTTTTATTCGACTGCATTGCTTTTCAACATCATAAGAATTAAA